TGCCACCCCCTCCGCATTGCTGGCACCGGGCTGGGCACGTTGAGAGCTGCTTCTGGTCTGAAGAATAAATTGGGATGTAGGTGTGACACAGCTGTGGCTGGGGCACGGGGCGCTGGGGGGCACCAGCCCAAGGTGCAGAAGAGTTTTTTGGGGGGGGGACACACAGGGACAACACAGGTCCCGGTGCCACCCCTGTGGTGCAAGGAGCTGGGACAGGGCTGAGTGGGGCAGTGTCTTTATTGGGGATGGTGCCTGGGGTGATGCTCCCCAAATATATGGGTTGGGGGTCTGTTGCTGCCCCCACGCAGGCTGTGCTGCCTGCACACCCCCCCAGTGCCACCCCAGTCCTGGGAGGGTGCCCGGGCCAGGGGGGACTAGGGACAGCTTTGCCTGGGGAAGGGGGGGGCACCGCTGTCCCAGCTGGTTCCTGGCACAAAGTGGGGGACAGCAGGGCAGCCCCCCCTCCGCCACGCTGGCACCCATCAGTCCCCAGTGAGAGCTCGGCGCAGCTGCAGCTTCTTGGCAAGCTCCTCTGCCCATGCCTGTGCCATGGGGGGGGAGTGGGGGTGACTGCCTGGCAGAGGACCCAGGCATCTGGGCCCCCTCCCTTTGGGTGCCCCCACCAGTCAGTGACCCCAGAGGAACCACTCTGCTCCACCACTCGTCCCCATTGCCCCCCAGAGCCAGTGGCAGGACCCAGATGTCCAGATCCTGGCACCCCCCCACGCTCCTCCCCACTCCCAGCAGTGGGACCCAGGCATCTGGGCCCCCCCTCACCGTGGTTGTGGGGCGGCTGCAGGGCTCGGTGGGGGGCAGGATGGGGTGCTGAGCTCTTGGGGTCTCACTCACCTATGGCGAAGGACAGGGGTCAGCATGGGAGTGCCCCCTCCCTGCCTCAGTTTCCCCAAGCCCAACTGGCTTCACCCTGCTCGTTCATGTAGGTCTGCTCCTCTGGGATGGCCCCAAATAGGGGGGGGTCCTCCAGCCCCCCCCGGGGGCTGCAGCACAGGGTGGTGGGGGCTTAGGGATGGCTTCAGTGCCCTAAGGCCACAGGGCTGGGGTGTGGGGGTGGCCGGGGGGGCTCCTCACACACCCCCTGGGTCTCCTCCCTGTTCTCACCATCCCTTTGCACGAACTCTGGAGCGGAGTGACGTCATGGACCCTCTGCCTACCCCTGACACCCCCAACCCCCCCCAGACGTCCAGTGCCAGCCTGTGACACCGCAGCAGCTCTGCCCCCCCAACACCATCCTGCAGCACCCCAAGTCACCCCAACATTCATGCAACTCTCCAGCAATCCCCCAAGCACCCCAGAGACCCCCCACCAGATGCCCTCCACCACTCCAGCCACCCATAACTGCTCCCACCACCCCGAACGCCAGCCTGCAAGACCCCCCCAGACCCCGCTGAGCCCCCACAGCCCCCCAGTGCCCACCGAGCCGCGGACTGTACTCCCGGTGCAGGGGCTGCAGGCTGCCCTTGCTGCTCTCCACGAAATACTGCACCACTTCGGCCAGCGAGGAGCAGCGATGCTGGGGGGGACACGGATGCGGTGTCACTTGGGGACCCCCCCACGGGTGTGTGTCCCCTGTAGTTCCCCCATTCCCTGCCCACCACTCTTGGGCCCTGGGGGGGGGTGTCCCAGCCCTTTGGGGGTCTCTTAGGGGTCCCAGTCCTTTGGGTCCCAGCCCTTTGGGGGTCCCTGTCCTATTGGGATCCCAGTCCCTGGGGTCCCAGCCCCTTAGGGGGTCCCAGTGCCTTGGGTCCCAGCCCTTTGGGGTGTCCCAGTCTCTTAGGGGTCCCAGTCCCTTGGGTCCCAGCGCCTTGGGGATCCCAGCCCCTTGGTTCCAGCCTTGGCTATTCCAGTTCCCAGGGCTCCTTGCCTTGGGGGTGGGGGGATGGTGTCACAGCTCCTTGGGGGTCCCAGGCCCTGGGGTACCCAGCCTTGGGGTTGTCAGACCCCATGGGTGCTGGTCCCTTGGGTGTCAGTCCTTGGGGGTCCCAGGCCCTAAGTGCCCTATTCCCTGGGGCTCCCAGCCCCTTGAATCCCAGTCTGAGGGTCTCAGCCCTTGCGGGGCCCGTCCCAGGGGCTCAGTTGGGTGCCTGGGGTGGGGTGGGGGGGTGTCATCTCTGTCCCCAGGGCCAGCCCAGCTCTGTCCCACGTCACTCACCGGCGCGTCCACGTCGATGACGTAGCCCCGGTCCACGCGGTTCACCTTGTAGTGCTTCACCTGCACCGTGCTGCCGTGGGGGGCTGCGTCAGCAGGGGCTGCCACCCCTCGCAGGGGGGACACCCCTCGCATAGGGACCCCACACCCCATGGGGACCCTCACCCTGGGGGGACACCCCTCGCCACGAGGACCCTCGCCCTGGGGGGACACCCCTCGCATGGGGACCTGCGCCGTGATGCCACCCATGCCCGTCTCCCACCCAAGCCCCCCGCTCACCCGTTCACCTCCTGGCGCGTGGTGACGGAGACACCCTGGCCGTGCCCCCCCGGGGCGCAGCACCACGTTTCCCCCCCCATCCGCGCTCCGCTCCAGCAGCCGCTCGAGGCCAAGTCACCTCAAAAAAGCAGCTGGGCATCCTGGGGACAGCCCTGTCCTGTCACCCCCCCCAGCC